TGTTGAAATTGGCCTAGTGGTTCTTGAGAAGAAGATGAATATGTGAAAAGTTTTCGACAACGCCAATGACAACAATGACAACGACAGCGACAGTCAACGGACAAATTTTTATCAGAAAAGCTCACTTGAGCCTTCGGCTCAGGTGAGCTAATGATGACTCTAAATGAGACTGCTGATATTCTTGTTTCAGCAACTAGTTTGTCAATAATTAACCCCATTGTAGAAATTACATGCTGATTCAATAAATATTGTCGAATTGAAGGTCATAGTCAGCGTTATCTTTTTTATGTTGATATTTAAAATAAATTTTGCTCATAGGAATATATAAAAACCAGGGTCAGGTAATAAAAAAAACACTTTTAATACCAATCGGTGCAGCAGTTTGTTAAAAAACCAGTCTCCGAACACTACATACAAAGTAATTATTATATATTATTATCATTTTTATCAAACACTTGTCTATGATATCAAAAGACTAGTTTTTAATTAATTATGACGAATTGTTATATAAAAATGAAGAAAGGTCGTAGGGATTGATTTTATGCACTTTTAAGAAAATATGTTTATAGGTAAATTTTAAAAATGGTTTTGTGAACCACCTTTGATTTCATACGAAGCAGGATCGATTTGTGCAAAATCATGCGTAAAAGAGGAAAACACTTGCTGTGGCCTTCAACTCGACATTTAGATATATCGATGACGTATTGTCAATTAACAATGGTAATTTCCATTCCTACGTCCATACAATATATCCTGAAGAGCTTGAGATAAAGAATATCACAGAATCTGACACATCTGTTTCATACTTGGATATTTTACTTGATAGTAACCTAAACAACCAAGTTATATGATAAACGTGACGACTTTAACTTTTCTATCGTCAACTTCCCTTACTTATGCAGCAATATACCTTCATCACCTGCATACGGAGTGTAATTTAAATACGTCAGAAGTTTGTAGTTTACAGCAATAGTTATTCCTTAGAGTTAAGGTAAGAGCTTGGTAGAGCATTAGCTTGACTCAATGTTTCCTTGTTTTATAGAGTTGTTTTTTAAGGTTCATAAACCCTCTGCTCACTCATATGAATTTTTTCTATAACTATGATTTTTCAAAGGAAATGTATACGCTGAATAAAATACAAGCAACTATAACATGGCTTGCAGGGTAAAATTTGACAAAAAAGGCATTTAAACTTGACAAATTTATAAAGGAATAATAGACATTTGTGGCATTTAGAGTTATCTCTCTTATCAGAGTATCAATGTACCTTAAGTTTAGAATTCTATAAAGAAAGAAAGACTCTTCTTGTTTAACTGGTATGTTCAAAAATATAAACAAAGTAATAATTTTTTTTCCTTAGAAAGAGAACTGTGAGTAAATGTTACATTTTCCACGAAGAATAAAAAATAACTTCTTCTCAAATACAGTTTAAGAAAGATCCTACAAACAAGGACGACATTGTTGTCTGCTGGAAACATACTTTACGTTTATATAATCTGTTGAACTCTTTTATCATTTCTTATTTAGTGTAAAAGGAGTGTGCATTTTGCCATTTAATTTTCTGATACAAATCGTTTGTTCATTGTAGAACGACAAAATCAAACTAATTTTCATTTCACTTTGTTCGCGATTTATCATTTCTCGCGAAATTAAACCCACCGTGAATGCTTTCATTGATTAAAAAAACGTTTCAATGTTTATATAAATCTCATAATTATTTCTTGCAGCGTGAAAATAAAACCTTTGCGATTGTTACTTTTTAATAAATCGCAAAGTTTAAGCGTCTTTGAATTTGCAAAATTACCTACAGTATTACGCTGCCCAGAGAATATTGCAGTGTGCGATCCTCCTTCTTAATCTGAACTGCAAATGATAATTGAAATTGACATCAAGTCACAGATAATCCTATATATTATTATATATTTTTAAGATACGACTAAATTAATTCCTTTTTCTTCAAAAACTTTCCTTGTTGTATCAAAAAAGTTAGCGACTATACAAGGAAAAGCTAAACACGTAAAGTACTGGTATTCAGAGATTGTGTAAGAGCAAAACAATACCGTAATTTGACCGCTTACCAACTACAATTTACTGTAAATGCGGAAGAAATGAACGCCAACGTTTCGATAAAATTCAAGCGCAAAAAAAACCTGATTTGTCTTTAAATAAAACATACATCATTACAGTTCATCGAATATAGAATATGTTTTAGGAGTTACCCAGTTCTTAAGATCATGCCAAAAATCCAACACACGATGTTATTTTTTTTGACTGGTTTGTATTATCGTTTTCATTTATCACAAAATTCTCTCTTTCGATTCTATCTCTTTTATTTTTACTCCCTCTTTTACATTTTAATTTCATTTTCAGGTATTTACTCCATATCTGAAGTTTTCTGCTCTTGGGAGACGTGTTCAGAAAACGGAATTGCATATACATTTGAAGAACAGAAAGTTAATTGGGATAAAGCAGCTGGGCAATGCGAAGATGCCGGTGGATCTTTAGCTATTATTCGGTCGAGATTTGATAAGAATTGTGTCGTCAGTAAGTAAATACTGCTACTAGTATTTATAATGAAAACGTTTGTATTACAAAGGATATGTTTTGTAGTGGAAGGAGACGAACTTAAAAAAACAATTTTAATTCGAGATTTTTTTCAAATTGCAGAAAACCTAAATCAAAGTGTTGGTTCCTATTATATTGGAGGTTCAAAATCCTCTTCTTCTGGACTTTGGACATGGATGGATGACACTCCAGTTCCTAAGCCGGGATACTGGGAGAAAGGTAATATATATTTTGCTAATTTCGAGTTTATCAACTGATTATTTACCTGAATACATTTGCTGTCGAATCCATGAGATACTGTGGTGCTATCAGGTGTTGATGAGCTTATTCTTTATCCCTGGTGTCGGTGTTGGTGTTAGTTACGGCGTAAGAGTAAAATGTTTTCAATTGTCTAAAAGTTCGTTGGAATCTTTAAGTATCCACATCTAATTTACACCACTTCTTGGAAATAGTGTTGCACAGTACTCTTGAAGTTCCTATAAAAAATTAACAAATCATTTTGATGTACATGACTTTGAATAAATATTATCTTCATTTTTAAAAACATTTTGTATTTTTTTTGTATGTCAACAGCAACGATGCATATGTTATGATTTGTATTAACGATTGGAAAATAATTTTTCGAATGTACTCAAGCCCATTCTTAGGTCTTAGGGCGGCCGTCAGATACTTAGGACGATTAAACACAACCTGCTGTATTCCTATATATTGTTCAGATAGACAGAATATTTAGAAATTTGAAAAAAAACAAACAGTTTGAAAAACGTAAAGAAATATTGGGATCCATAGATAGGTTATACATGTTAACAACATCATAATAACAATCGAAGAATTCAATTTATGAAATGGCGACATTAAAGATGTTTTGATGAAAATCTGCTACATTAACTTATTTGTCACTAGCCCTCTTCCCTTTTTTTAAATAGGTGTCGACAGATCATAATATAACGATTCGAATAATTTGGGACATATCTAAGTTTTTTTTCTGACGTAGTTTGCATATGAGTCAATGGCTTAAAATTTTCAACTCGAAATAAAATTGAAATTGAAACACTTCAATTAAAATTGTTAACTCTTTAAATATAGAAATACATATATTAGACCCGATACACATTTAAATACAAGGTAAAATATCATAATTTGGAACATTTAAAATTGGAATTCAGATGTCATTATTTACTACATGTATCATTTATGTTTTTCCACGAGTATAACCTGATAAAATAATCAAGTATTTCACAGACGAACCAAACAATTCCGGAGGAATTGAAGATTGCTTAGAGTTTCGGTTGTATGATTTATTTTTGGAACGACGTATCCTGCAGTGAGAGGAGTGCTTACGTTTGTCAAAGTGGGTACCGTCATTAGGATTTTCTAGTAGTAAACAAAAGGTTCATTTTCTTCTTTTCTGAGAAGTTATATAGGACAATTTTGCAAAATAATTTAATCCTCTTTTGAAGGAATAAAAGAAAAACCCATTCTTTTTTTTATTTCTTAGGCTTAGACAAACATTAAGAAAGATATAATAACCTATTTTAAAAGCATAACTTTGTCACCTACAGAACATATATACACTCTTCTGTTTACGAAGTTTCTTTTATCAAATTATCTAACAAGCAAGCTCAGTGATAAACGTGATGACTAACTTTTCTATCGTCAATTTCCCTTACTTATGCAGCAATATACCTTCATCACCTGCATATGGAATTAATATATCTCAGTTGATTCGATACGCATAATTTACGGATGAACAATTTCTAAAATGAGGTAAAATATTGTCAATCAAGTTGATGAAACAAGGATTTCAGCAGTCTCGTTTAAAGTCATCATTTCGTAAATTCTATGGTCGATAAAATGCATGACCTTAACAGATATATAATTTTTCATTGAGTCAAATGCTGACGTCTTCCACACTTATTGTTAGTCCATTATTTATAAACTGAATTTGCGACTAACTATTTCTATAGTAAAAACACAAGTTTTACCAAAATTTTAGAGGTATTTCTCTTTGTTTTCCAAAATAAGTATTGTTTTATGAAAATCCATACAATTATCTATAAGAAAATAAAAAAATTATCGAATATGTTAACTTTTAAAAATTGACTTTGAGGTAGGCGGGAGAACAATACTATTGTTCGCAGTTCTTCCATTCTTTATGCAGCAATATACCTTCAACATAATCACCAGTATGTATACAGGATTTATATCTCTCAATTGATTCGATCAGCAAGATCATGTTCTATGAAATGATAAATAGGTTATTGATAGGCAAGCTTAAGTCGACGAAACTAGAAAATCACCAGTCTCGTTTATAGTCATCATTTTGTAAGTTTTGGTCGACACAATGACTTTGTCAGCATATGCAGTTAATAATTGAGTTAAAAGCTAGCTGACGTTTTACATACTAATTGGATGATTATAGCGAGCGCAGCGAGGCGGTGCAAAGTGCCGCTCGTGTAGCGAGCTCAATAGACAAACGTGTACGAACAGAGGAAATTCAGGTTGACATCTGCACATTGTTCCAAGAAATTTTTTTTGTCCCACGTGAAGAAATTCCAAACTCCAAATAATCCCATGCGGTACATAGCAACACGGACATGGTGGATTAAACATAGCAACAACTTACTAGAAAAAAAATAGAAACAACGATTTAATGCAATCTCCATGCCATTAATATATATCGTTTGCGTCCTAAGTCAACACAACTTTTTATCTGACGTCATACTTTTGTCACTTTAACGGTTAGGGTATTTCCGATTTTGTCGGAAACGTCCAAGAAATTTTGAATCTGTATCCCGATGCTTTGGAAGTGATTTCTTTTTGTTTTCTTTTTTCTTTCTTATTCTTGAATGATAGGCAGTACATGCATAGGTTTATGATAGTACGTAACTGCGCACGCCCCAACGGTCACACCGTAAACATATTAATTTAGACACTGAATTGTTGAAAAATTTTCCGTTATTTTCCGGTGATGACAATGTGCACACGGCGAGTGTGACCAGTCGGCAAAAGATGATCACTTCTCTATGGTACCTGATTCCACCCCTGATGTTTTGGAAGTCCATATTTGCTTTGCTTCAAAGTTGTATTGTTTGATAATTTTTTTTAGCTCATATGCTGTTCGTTATCTCCGTATGTTTCATGATTAACTTTAAAGATGTTATTTAAGAAACACTATAGGTAAATACACATAACTTTGTGAATTTTGAGTCATCTCAGTCATTTTCAATCACGCAATACCTGATTTTCAGAACCTTTGGCTCGGACTACCTTCAATAAAAACTTTTAAGATTCAAAGGAAAACACAAGTACAACCATTTCTTAACTGTAATGATGATTTTTTCGCCTTTAGTAATTTTTCTGTGTTATTTTATGTTTTGTTTCCAGTTATTACTTAGACCACAGAATCAGCGTTAATGGTAACCCAAAATCAAACAACACTGGATGAAGAGTCGTCCATAAAACACAATGATAATAATGATGTCTAACTGGACCCCATATATTATTGTCCCCCGCTTTCGCGAAAGCGAGGGGACATTAAATCTCTTTGGTGTGTCCGTCAATCCGTTTGTCCGTCTAGCTGTCTAGCTGTCCGTCCGTCACAAAAACTGTAACTTTGCCCATAACTTTTTATTTAGTGGAGCTATAACTTTCATATTTCATATCTGCAGCCCTTGTGACAAAACCTTTTTTTGGTACCACCACATCTGACCTTGACATTTGAGTTTGACCCACTTTTATAAAAAATTTCGTTGGCCATAACTTTTGAACGGTTGATACTAGGACTTTCATATTTCACACATGTATTTTTATGGCAAGACCTTTTATTGGATACAAAAAACCTTGACCTATTAACCTTGACCTAGGAGATCTACATGCTTATGAAAAACTTTAACCTTGACCATAACTTTTGAACTGTAAAGTTTTAGGCTTTTGTACTTCAAATATGTCATTCTTGTGAAAAGAACTTTCATTGGATACCCTTTGACCTTGACTTTGGAGTTAAACTACTTTTTAAAACTTTAACCTTGGTCACAACTTTTGAACGGTAGATAGTAGGTCTTCCATATTTCATATATGTATTTATTGTGGCAAGATCTTTTATCGGATACCAACAACTTTGACATTTTGACCTTGACCTTTGAGATTTACGTACTTAAAAAAAACTTTAACTTTGACCACAACTTTTGCACGGTAAGGGTTAGGGCTTTCGTACTTAACATATGTATTCTTTGTGAAAAAACCTTTCATTGGATACCAAGAACTTTGACCTTTTGACCTTGACCTTGGAGTTTTAACTACTTTTTAAAACTTTAACCTTGGCCACATCTTTGAACGGTAGATAGTAGGATTTCCATATTTCATATATGTATTCTTTGTGGCAAGTCCTTTCATTGGATACCAACAACTTTGACCTTTTGACCTTTGAGTTTTGCGTACTTATAAAAACTTTAACCTTGACCACAACTTTTTCACGGTAAGGGTTAGGGCTTTCGTACTCAACATATTTAATCCTTGTGAGAATCATTGGATACCAAGAACTTTGACCCATTGACCTTGGAACTTTAACTACTTTTTAAAAAACTTAAACCCTGGCCACAACTTTGAGCAGTAGATACTAGGACTTTCATATTTCACATATATATTCTTTGTGGCAAGACCTTTCATTGGATACCAACACCATTGACGTTTTGAACTTGACCTTGGAGATTGACGAACTTATGAAAAAACTATATCCTAGACCATAACTTTTGAATGGTAAGAGCTAGGGCTTTTATACTTCACATATGTATTCCTTGTGAGAAGACTTTTAATGTATACCAAGAACCTTTACCTTTTCACCTTGACTATGGAGTTGAACTACTTTTAAAAAATCTTTATCCTTGGCCTTGACTTTTGAACGGTTAGAGTTAAGGTTATCACCTTCACATATGTATTACTTGTGACAAGACCTTTCTTAAGAATCAACATCTCAGGCCCTTTCACCTTGGAGTTTGGCCTACCTTTTAAAAATTTATTCTCAACTATAACTTTTGAAGAGGAGGTGCTATGGATTTTGTATTTCACAATCGTATTTCTTGTGAGGTCGTTCGCGTGGCGCAGTGGTTAGAGCGTCTGCTCTAGAGTCGCGAAGTAAGGAGTCAATCCTTACGTCGCGGGTTCGAATCCCACTGCGGGACGTGGAGAACGGTCCTTCGGATAAGACCGTATAAACCAAGGTCCCGTGACGCAGTAGGTGCTGGCACGAAAAAGATCCCTCACTGCTCAAAGGCCCTGAGTGCCGAGCATAGGACAAAATTTGTAGCCGTCCACCGGCAAGTGGTGGCGTCTCCATATGAGTGAAAAATTCTCGAGAGGTACGTTAAACAATATACAATCAATCAATTATATTTCTTGTGAGAAAAACCCAAGTTTGGGTAATAATGTATTTAATTTGCATTTAAGAAAAGTTTAATCTTCGTTATGCTGCCATACGGGGTCATCACAAACACATCTTGTTCCTTATATTGAACAGAGATAGGGTTTTCATATCAACATATTTGACATGTGCATAACCTGTGACAAGATATTAAGGAGTGTTCTATGATTTCTTACCACTTGACCTTTACCTTCACAATTGAACTTATTTTTTAAGAAAATCAATTTTAATGATAATTTCTTAATAAATGACATATGATAGGGTGTTCATATTAGACACAATATGTCATAAAAATAACATCTCATCCACAAAGACTCCGAAATTGGGGGACCAAAATTCTTTGGATTTTGCTAATTAAAATTACAAAATACCACTTTCAATAAACATAATAGTATATCCATCCGTCAAATATTATTCATTCACAAATCCTTTATTGTCCACCGCTTTCTCGAAAGCGAGGGGATATTAAATTTCATTCGTCTGTCCGTAAGTCTTTCTAGCTGTCCGTCCGTCACAAAAACTTTAACCTTGCCCATAACTTTTGATTTAGTGGAGCTATGAACTTTAGAATGTTTAAAACTAAGACTTTCATATTTGAAATATATTTTTTTGTAGGAAAACCTTTCATTGGATACCAACAACTTTGACCTTGACATTTGTGATTTCCGTACTTAAGAAAAAACTTTAACCTTGACCAAAACTTTTGAATGGTAAAGGCTGGGGCTTTCATACTTGAAATATGCAATCCTTGTGAAAAGACCTTTCATTGGATACAAAGAACTTTGACCCTTTGACCTTGGAGTTTAAACTACTATTTAAAAAATGTAACCTTGGTCACAACTTTTGAACAGTAGATACTAGGACTTTCATATTTCACATTTGTACTTTTTTTTTGGCAAGACCTTTCATTGGATACCAATAACTCTGACCTTGACCTTGTAGATATACATACTTATGAAAAAACTTTAACCTTGACCATATCTTTTGAATGGTAAGGGCTAGGGCTTTTTTACTTCACATATGTCATCCTTGTGAGGAGATCTTTCACTGGATACCAAGAACTTTTACCCTTTGACCTTGACTTTGGAGTTGACCGTCTTTTCAAAAACCTTGATCATAACTTTTGGTTTTCATCCTTCACATATATATTACTTGTGACAAGAGCATTCTTAAGAAACTTATAAATTAGACCCTTTCACCTTGGAGTTTGACCTACCTTTAATTTATCCTCAACTATAACTTTTGAAGAGGTGATGCTAGGGATTTAGTATTTCACAATTGTATTTCTTGTGAGAAAAACCCTACTTTGGGTAATAATATATTTAATTCACATTTAAAAAAAAAAATACCTCCGTTATGTTGCCATACGGGTTCATCAGAGATTCACAAAACACATCTTGTTCCTTATATTGAGAAGAGATAGGACTTTCATATATGACATGTGCATTACCTGTGACAAGATATTTCCGAGCATGCTATGATTTCTTAACTCTTGACCTTGACCTTCATGATTGGCCTTATTTTTTAAAAAAAAAGATATCAACTTCAATGATAATTTCTGAATAAATGACATAGGATCAGGTGTTAATATTACACACAATACGACATAAAAAATAACATCTCAACAATAAAGGTACCGAAAGCTGGGGACCAAAATTCTTTGAATTTGCTTGTTTTATAAGTTAAGGTCAAATTCTTTTTACACCGAACATTGCGTAAAGTATAAGGTTTGAAACAAGTAGGAATTTTGTTTGGTTGTGAAGTAAGACAATTGATATAACATTATGCTTTGGTTGTTAGAAAGTGTTTAGACAATTGGCAAGATTTTGTTTTTCGGTTGGGGCAATGAATTTGAAATTGTATTTGTACATGTTTGTTTTATTTTATTGAGACAGACTCCATGTGTAGGTTTATGTGGTGCAAGTCATCACAATAGTTGTAAGAAACAAGAGGACCAGGGCCGGGGCCACGTCGCTCACCTGAGCAATTTGCTAGGATAAGCACATATCAGATCAGAACTGAAAGTTTACTGAGGTGGGGGGGGGCCTTGAATTTGAACCCCCACGGGGTCATGATTTGAACAAACTAGAATCTACACTACCTGAGAATGATTCCATATAAATATTACTACGCATGGATTTGAAGTACTTGAAAAGAGGATTTTAAAAGGTTTCGATATATATATATCTATGTTAAACTTTGATCGGCCATTTTGGCCCCACCCTACCCCCGGGGGTCATGATTTGAACAAACTTGAATCTACACTACCTGTGGTTAATTTCACACGAGTTTAATCTTTCCTGTCTCAATGGTTCTTGAGAAGATGATTTTTAAGATATATTTCATATATATTCCTATGTAAAACTTTGATTGGCCATTTTGGCCCCACCCTACCCGCGGGGGTTATGATTTGAACAAACTTGAATAAACACTACCTGAGGTTAATTTCACATGAGTTTAATCTTTCATGTCTCAATGGTTCTTGAGAAGAAGATTTTTAATATTTTTCCTATACATTCCTATGTAAAACTTTGATCGGCCATTTTGGCCCCACCCTACCCCCGGGGGTCTTGATTTAAACAAACTCGAATCTACATTACCTAAGGATGATTCCAACTGAGTTTCATCTTTCCTGGCCCAGTGGTTCTTGAGAAGAAGATTTTTAAAGATTTTTCCTTTACATTCCTATGTAAAACTTTGATCGGCCATTTTGGCCCCACTCTACCCCTGGGGGTTATGATTTGAAGAAACTTGAACTTACACTAACTGAGGATGATACCACATGAGTTTCATCTTTCCTAGACCAGTGGTTCTTGAGAAGAAGATTTTTAAAGATGTTTCCTATATATTCCAATGTAAAACTTTGATTGGCCATTTTGGTCCCACCCTAGCCCCGGGGGTCTTGATTTAAACAAACTCGAATCTACATTACCTGAGGATGATTCCAACTGAGTTTCATCTTTCCTGGCCCAGTGGTTCTTGAGAAGAAGATTTTTAAAGATTTTTCCTATATATTCTATGTAAAACTTTGATCGGCCATTTTGGCCCCACCCTAGCCCCAGGGGTCATGATTTGAACAAACTTGAATTTACACTACCTGAGGATGATTCCATATGAGTTTCATCTTTCCTGGCCCAGTGGTTCTTAAGGAGAAGATTTTTTAAAAATGCCATTAAAATTTCTCTAATTCATAATTATCTCCCCTTGGAAAGGGCGTGGCCCTTCATTTGAACAACTTGAATCCCCTTTACCCAAGGATACTTTGTAGCAAGTTTGGTTGAAATTGGCCCAGTGGTTCTTGAGAAGAAGATGAAAATGTGAAAAGTTTACAACGACGACAATAACGACAACAGATAACGGACAAATTTTGATCAGAAAAGCTCACTTGAGCCCTTGGCTCAGGTGAGCTAAAAATTCATCATTCTCATTAAGAGTTCTCCATTTTTATTCAAGGATACACATATACATACCTAAACATACCTATCGGTAAATATTTTTGAACATAGTATTTAGAATCAGCTTCTGGTCTCCCTCTTTGGACAATTAAATACTAATTAGTCGAATAAATAGCACCGTTAAAGGAAATTCATATTGTTGTTCTAACCATAAGTTGTTACAAGTGTCTCTATTTCTGCTTTTTGTAGCAAAACTCTTTTTAAAGTGAGCTGATTTTAAAATGATGTTCTCTTTTCTAGCCCCAATAACTCCATATTGTGAAGACATGCCAAACGTAGACTGTGTGCCGATAATTGAAAACACCAAAGACATGGTATGAAATATTCTATCCTAAGTATCGCTGTAGCTTTCTTTATAACAAGTAAGTAAATAAAATAATTTTTGAACTCTTTACATTAACTGAACTAATTCTTTTCCAGGTTGATTCTGCTCTCCAAGGAAATTTATCGAAGACAAAACTAAAGCTTAAATAAAGATAGAGCACTTCTAAACTTGCAAACACTTTCAACTGACAACGAACAAACTCCAGAAGACTTTGATAATTCAATAGATCTGCTGAATAAAATCGTTGATGTTTCCAATAAGTCTAACGTTTCACTTCCAAAGTCGGTATGCTATATTCATGAATGTCATTTTAAATGTAATTCCTCATAAGGAGATGTCAAAAAGGAAAGAGAATGATATTATTAGGTTTTTATAATCTTAAAACTAATTCAAACAAGAAATTTTCATTATTCATTTTGGCATTCAGATAATTGTGACAACAATCGACAATATACTAGGAGAAAATCACACTGCTGCTTGGAATAACACTTCTACAAAGCAGGTAATTATCACTGTGATAATTAAATGAGCAATTTCTGTATTTCATGAGGGTAAACATTACTTATGTTATATTTATCCAGGCCAGTGCAAGAGTAAATAAAATCTTTAAAGCCATATATGGCGTATGTACAGTGAAAATTATTAGACTAAAATTATAAGAACTTACCCGGTATTATTTGTATCATTACTTTATATAAAGATAGAACTTTTCCGAAAATTACAAAATCTAAGCACCAATTGCATTACAAAGATATCACAATTTAATTTGGATTTTTAGAATTTTCTCCGACTCGGAAGAAAATACAAAAGATTTAAATAACACATTACAGAGAATATAAAATCGTGTTATTAGGTGCTTTCCGTGTTCAGAATTGTACGAAAAGCTTTAATTTAAATGTATTAACTATATTTCTTTACTTAATTTTGATTTTCACAGAAATGTATTTTTTTGATCAGTTACGCCATATATGGCTTTAAGACCGTGGACAAAATAGGATTGTATCTCTTATGCCTAGGTCACATTTAAGCCGATGGTCGGGCGACTAAATTTTTCTGGTCTTGTCGGCTGAAAGAACCTGATCGGCCGACACAGTATCGGGCGACACGGAACAGTCACATTATTTCCTAGGGACACCGATGACTTTGATAAATAACACGAAAAATCTTTTTTTTTCTTTAGAATTCAGCAAGATCTATATTCAGATAGGTGACGAGTAATTTTTGTAAGGCAAAGTGGCAGAATCTTATTAAATTGTGACTCAATACTGAAAATGTTGTTGAATTTTGTATGGAATTGCAGAAAAAAGACAAGTGGTGCATAACTAAGCAGCAAAGAATACTTAAGATTTCTTTATATCTTACGGATTAATTATTCATGTTATTTCTAGATCTGCTCCGAAAATTTATATCAATCCATGCATCAAAATCTTGTTTGTATTAAATAAATATTCACAAGTCGGACAATCGTCGTCCGATCATCGAGCTCAGAGCTACAGTTTGATTTTAAGCGTCGGCCGAAATTTTAAACACCCTTATTGTCCAACGACGGACGACCGATTTAAAAAAAAAACTGACCGTCGATGGTCGGACGATGATCGAAGGTTGGTCGACGGATAACTTCAATCGAAGGAATTGGCACCAACGCATGAAAATTAAAACTTGAACCGATGGACACAAAGTTGGTCGGCCGACAAAAAAAGAGGTCAAAATCGGCCAAGACAACGGCTGATATGGACTGACGACGGTCACCCGAAGAATCACATTTTTGCTTCAAAACCCATCGGCCGTTAGTCGTTGTTGGAAATGTGACTGGGGTTTTAGGGACGGTCAACGAGAACGAAAGCATTATATTTAACTCAACAAAATATATTGGTAAGTTGACTAAATACTGAATAAAGTAAAACCAGTCACATTTATTTTTAATTGGTTTTCCACTTTAATCTTCGTAAGGTCAGTCGATACGTTCCTCAGGTATCTCATTTGTATGTCTCCGTATCTTATAAACATATTTAAAATTATAATCACTTGCTTGTAATCTTTAAAGTGCTTTTTAATTGACGAAAAAAAAATTACGCCCCTGAAAGTTCTTATTTTGGCATTTTAAGTAATTTCCAAAAAGATTATATAAGCAACATCACCCTCTAGTATCTTGAACAAATGCCTGGTAGGTACCTCAATTTTTGGTGAGTTAACATGTAAAAATAGCATTTAACATAACATAACATAACATTTTATTTCTAATTTAGAGCCCATAACAGACAAGTATGAAATTGTTACAATAATAAGGAAAAGATAAGCCAATGAATAGCAAAACAATTATACAATTAGTAATTGACATAAATCATTTCAACATTAATTCAATGAAATAATCTCGAGAAAATTATAACTTATTTAGGAACGTATCGCCTGTCATTAAAAAAGATCTTTTTAAAGACAATAATTATTTTTAATTTCATTCTCTTAGTTTTCACAGTTGCAAAGGTTCCGGCAGATCAGCCCGTTATTTTCCCAGAAAACAATACCATCCTAATTTCATCGCAAGTGTTTCCAGTACAAGCTAATGGTTTTAATCAATGTAATATCAGTTCCTTTATCCAACCTTTTTTCATTCAATATTTTCTTGGCTGTCCTGAAAGCAAAAAGGTAATTTTTTTTAAAATCAAATCTAGGTATTCCCTACCTTGCAGTGAAGTATACAACACTGGCAAAAAAATTTTATCATGTCTGGTAAAATATTACATATATATTACAGTAACGGAACTGGTGGGTGGTCAACACTAGGGTGTATATTACTATCTACAGATGATCTTTATCTTCACTGTGAATGCAATCATCTGACTAATTTTGCAGTACTGATGCGACCATATTCAAGGGTATGAATTGAATATCGTTGGCATATTGATACGACAATTTCACAGATAACAACAACTAGTATATTCTGATTATCACACTATAGCAAGAATAACGGCATAATATTATCTTTTATGATGGAGATAGCCCTTTCATCTTTACAGATACAGGACGAAGAAGATGCACTGAATTGGATTTCCATAATTGGTTGCTCGATATCGGTCTTTCTTTCGCTGCTGACGGCCTTTGTTTACATCTTTTTCTGGAAGTGAGCGATTTAATAAGACATTCTGCAATGTCGGTAAAGTAACGTTGGTAGTTGTCACGGCTGAGTATAACATTAGGTGTCTGCCATAATGAAAATAAAATGGATAACAATATCTGTGACAAGTCATCTAGAATGTGAATAAATACAATCGTAAATATTTTTAGTTATACCACTTTGCATAACAGCAGTAACTTTTGGAATCGTATATTCCTTGGGCAAGGACTATCATTCACGAACCAGGTACTCAATTTTTATCTCAACAATTTGATTTTAATATTAACATATAAAATAAAGCTTCCTCATCTTATGGGAACATCTTTTAATATTATTATTTGTTAGTTGCTGGTTATCATTTGAAAGTGGAGCTTTGTATGAATTTATTGGACCCGTAGTTGGAATTGTTTTGGTAGGAAGTTGTCATTTTACTCGATTTGTTTTCGTCATTAATTCCGGTTCTACATATTAAAATAGTTTTTTATTTTTTGTTTTGAAGCAGAACATTGCCAATTGCTATGAAATACTAGTTATTATTTTTAATTTTAGGTCAATATCATAATTGTGTTCAGTCTCGTTGTGACTCTATGTTCAACAATTTCCTCAGAAGGAAATCTGAAGAAAAGGACAATGTAAGTCAGAATGCATGCATAATTATATTTAGCTGTTAAATAATCAATTCTAGTATTATTCGTGTGTATATCAAGGCAAGGCTTATGCTCTCAATAAGAATATAGTAAATTTCCGGGAATCTTTTTTTTTTCTAATTTGTATATATATCTATATGACAAATAAAATGTCATGCAAATTACCGGAATGCATATGGTTTCAGACCCCGAATAAAGTCCATCTGTACCCTGTTACCTGTTCTGGGTGTCACGTGGTTATTTGGTCTCTTGTCTATTAATGAGGATGTGGTCGTTTTTCAGTATATCTTCTCCCTGTTGAACTCCTTTCAGGTATTCAGTGTATATTTTAATATTGTTTCAATATAATTACCAACAAGTAAAATATGTTGTAAGAAATAATGAGTTGATTATTTAATCTCCTCTTCAGGGACTTTTTATTTTCATCTCCAAATGTCTTCTGAATAAAAAGATAGGGACACCTCATAACATTAAGAATTTAACGTTTTTCTTCTAAGTACCTTTTCATTTACAATGTCAAAAATAAATGAAAAAAAAACATCTTCGGGACTTAAATATTTTTGTAAAACAATGACTTTAACTTGAACCAGTTTATCTTTCACTTGATTGATACTAAAGATTTAAGAATATACTTTATAATTCTACAGATCAGAAAGTTGCTAGGAGAATGCATGCACGTAGAAGGTTCAGAAGGCTGGAGAAGCAGGTTTTATATACTACTGAGCAGCAATACGATGTCTATGCAGGGTTCTCCATCATTTAAGATTTTACGGTGTTGTAGAGTTACGAGAAGCACTAATATTTCGCGGTATTTTCGCAAACAAATTCGCAACTGAATCACAATTCATTATAATTACAAAAGATTACAAGCACAAACTTATTTAAAAATTGCTAATTCGTTACACAAATGGTATGGTCGTACATACTGTTAAAAGGGAAAAAAACGTTCTGAAAATCAGAGGAAATTATGACCGTTAGTTGAACTACTTAACATTTTTGAAAGTAGATTTGCCTTGTTTATTTATCAGGTGTCTAGATCGAGTTGCCGCATTACATAAAAGGAACTTCAGAACAGTTAAATATTTTAAAGAGTTCCCTGAACATGCTGAAATTTCAAAATTTTCGGCAATTTATTTACATCAATTAAATGACTTCGGTACGATGTTATGTTTGACTTACAGTGCTTACATAAAACAAGAGCTGTGGCTCTATAGGAAAGAAATATTTAAATATTTTTCATAAATAATACAATGTTTTTAATTGCAACTAATAATTGACAAGTAAATTGAATTGTGAAAACAATTAATGTCTCTTTGTTCTGCGTAAAGTACGGCGAGGGTCTAAGAGATAATTAATTGATTACTCAAGGTGAAGCCCTAGTAAATAAGTGTTATAACTTTTTGAATTGGAAGACGGTAGAATTGTTTGATTCAAGTTTCAGTTAGAGAGAATTTGTGTGTTTATATTTTCTAATTATCATAACTCTTTCTGTGTCTGCAAAATTTTTATTGTGTCGATTGCATGAAATTTGAATCGCTACTGTGTCGGGAGCAACACAGTAAAATAGCTCATGGAGATCCCTGCTATGAATACGAAGGATTTTTCATCAGCGTCTAAAGTAAGCTTTTGTGTATATTGAGAATTCAAAATTTGATTTACATTCACATTAAACGCCTCTTTTTAATTACGTTTTAGCATCTATGGGTAAAGGGAAACAAAAAAAGTAATGCGAATTCCATGGACCCTGCCCCCCTGGGGCCTGGGGTGGGGCCAAAACCACTAAAATGTGTGCAATCTTTAAACATTTTCTTCTTTACTCCTCGACATCAAACAGTCAAACTGATGGTTGATTTTAATCAGCATTAAGTCCTCTACCAAAATTGTGAAATTCATGGCCCCAGAGTCAAGGGTTCTAGTGCTAGGGCGAATCTATAAAGATGTATAGTGAAAATGAATAATTTCTTTTAAAATCTTCTGCTCTGCTCCTGAGTATTAAATGAACTATCCAAGTACATCGTTATGTTGAATAAGGCTGCCTCTTCCAAAATTTTGAATTTCATGGCCCCTGGCTTGGCGGTTCTGGTGTTAGGGCGGAGCTCTATTAAATATATATTGAAAAATGCATAAATTCTTTAAAAATCTTCTTTCTTGGACATGGGTATTAAACCAATGAACTAGGTACATATTTATGAGGAAGAAGGATGCCTCTTTGAGATGTGTGAATTTAGGGCCCCTGGGTCAGGGCTTTTTGTGTTAGGGCGGGGCTTTAATGTTTATACATGTATAGTGAAATGCATAGTCTGAAAATAATTTAATGCTTTGAAATCTGCACCTTGGTATTAATCAACAACACGATAAAATAAAATTTATAAAATTTTCAAAATTTTGAATTTCATGTCCCCTCGCTTGGCGGTTCTGGTGTCAGGGCGGAGCTCTATTAAATATATATTGAAAATGCATAAATTCTTTTAAAATCTTCTTTCTTGGACATGGGTATTAAACCAATGAACTAGGTACATATTTATGAGGAAGAAGGATGCCTCTTTGAGATGTGTGAATTTGGGGCCCCTGGGTTAGGGCTTCTTGTGTTAGGGCGGGGCTTTAATGTTTATACATGTAGTGAAATGCATAGTCTGAAAATAATTTAATGCTTTGAAATCTGCACTTTGGTATTAATCAACAACATGATGAAATAGAATTTATAAAATTTCCAAAAATTTGAAAAATTTGGCCCCAAGATCAGTGTTTCCCTTGGGATGGGGTGCACAACTGATCAAGTGGAAATGCATTTTCTCTTTTTTACCTTGATCTTTCTTTGGGTATGAAGTAACCAAAGTATGGTGTCTCTTTTAAAATTGTGAATTTTATGGCCTCTGGTTTAAAACAGGACATTCAATTGTTGGAAATTTGTTACATGATACTCAGGTGACCTACAAGGCCCATGGGCCTCTTGTTTATTACTTTAAAAGATCAATGGTGCATACATTCATATTTTAAGACCACAAAACAAAGATATGCTTTTTCACGTAATTAGGATAGAATCGATAGAAAATGCCATAAACTTACAATGTTTTTGTCTTTGATATTAAAAATTCAAACTGATGGAGGAGAATTATTCATTAAACAAAAAGAAGGGGATCGCATCCAGGTATTTTACTCTAAATTAATGGTCTATGCTAAAAACCAACAGTAATTAATCTCAAAAGCACATTGAAACAATAAATGGAAATTGGAATGGAAATGGAAAGCTAACATAAAATAAAAGATGTCAGATCGGGTGCCATGGAGGAGTAAGCATCTCCTGATAATTTTCACCAATAAAAAATTCAATCAAAAAGATAATCACTATCTTTTTTGTAGTATATTGCTTTGTTTCCCAAAAACTAACTTTAAGTTAAACAAGAAAAAGAAAACAAAAGAAATGTTATATGATGATATATGTTTCAATCTGGTTGTATTCAAGATACTCATTTAATAACTAAATATTCGTGAATTAATAAAAGGAGTAAATATGATAAGAGCCAATTTTGGCCCCCTAAAAATCTACATTTTAGAATGACATTAAGATATGTTTAATTGATGTTTATTTTGTAGAAGAGATTATATTAGAAATATTTCCAATATATTTTCTCACATTGATATGCACTCACTAGCTGTAAATGACATTAGAAATAATGCTATTTTTGCTATCTAGCAAAAAAACCAAAAATATGCCCTTTTCTCGATGTTTTTTCTTATGGGAAACATAGAGCGCAGTGTAGAACATACATAATTTTTCTGTCACTAATTAGTATTAGATAGATACATCTTTGGTAAAAATATAAATCTTGTTTTAGGCTGCGCTCTATATTTTCTGGAAGAAAAACTGCTTGAAAATAAGCAATTTTACACAAAATATGCTAAAATGGTGGGAAAACGTGATTTTTATGATGTCATATTTCTAAAATAACGGCATTTTAATCAAAATGAAAATGACCAATAAAGGTCGCATACATAGCTGTTCAAATTAAAGCTATATATAAAGTAAAATTAAGATATTCATTTTAAGGGGCCAATTGAGACACTTACCATATATCGCTCTTTCAGGGAATTTCTTACGCAAGAAGAGAAAGTGTCAGTACAGCATTTTAAAGATGCATGACGAACAAATCAAGACATCTTCAGAGAACTTGGAATACTAATGACAGTGCCTATTATAATTGATTTATCATTAAATAATCATTTCTTTATATGTTTGTTTCATCGCGTAGTTGTCAGACATAACAGTACTCTTGCAATTTAAAAATGTTCAGATTTCACATTTATTTAAATAAAACATTTCAATATTCTACATATATTAAAAGGATTCGTCAATGATTGATTAGTACGTAGTTCTTGTTTATTATTAAGCAGTTTTGCATTTTTTTACTCTACTATTAAAAGCTAAAATTCCAGCTTCTAAAGAAAACTAGCTCTAGATAATTACTTTATGTATAAATGTATTCCTGTGAAAAAATACTGTTATCAAGATATTGCTCTTCTCATTATCATTTATTGCAGCTGTTACCGCATTATTTAGCTTAGTCCATTCTAATAAAGTTAAATGCTACACTATTGTTCTTTCTGGGGTATCTTTCTCTTGAACATATTGATACATGTAGATCTACATGGAACAACTGTTGGATCATGTGTGCTAAGAAGGAATAAGCACCCCTGCCCCCTTGTCGATCGTCTTTATTTACCAGGATATCTACCCCCTTGTCAATCTTCTGTATTTATCAGGATATCTACCCCCTTGTCAATCTTCTGTATTTATCAGGATATCTGCCCACTTGTCAATCTTCTGTATTTATCAGGATACCCACCCACTTGTCAATCTTTTGTATTTATCAGGATATCTACCGTGTCAATCTTTATTTATCAGGATAACTGCCCAGTTGTCAATCTTCTGTATTCAGTAGGATACCTGCCCACTTGTCAATCTTCTGTTTTTTTTTCAGGATATCTGCCCACTTGTCAATCTTCTGTATTTATCAGGATACCCACCCACTTGTCAATCTTCTGTATTTATCACGATATCTGCCCACTTGTCAATCTGCTGTATAAATCAGTATACATGCCCACTTGTCAATCTTCTGTATTTATCAGGATACCCACCCACTTGTCAATCTTCTGTATTTATCAGGATACCCACCCACCTGTCAATCTTCCGTATTTATCAGGATACATGCCCAATGGTCAATCTTCTGTATTTATTAGGATACCTGCCCACTTGTCAATCTTCTGTATTTATCAGGATACCTGCCCACTCGTCAATCTTCTGTATTTAACAGGATACCTGCCGACTTGTCAATCTTCTGTATTTAACAGGATACCTGCCCACTTGTCAATCTTCTGTATTTATCAGGATATCTACCCACTTGTCAATCTTCTATATTTATCTGGATAACTTCCTTGTTGTCAATCTTTTGTAT